CCATTAAGTTTGCTTTCAAGAAGTTTAGGTCCTATTTGGTGGGATCTAAAGTGATCGTTCATACAGATCACGCTGCTTTAAGATACTTTCTGACCAAGAAAAATGCCAAACCACGCCTTCTAAGATGGGTCCTTCTGCTTCAAGAGTTCGATCTCGAGATCAAGGACAAGAAGGGTATCAAAAATGGAGTCGCGGATCATTTATCCAGAATGAGAGTCGACGAAGAGACTGCTCTCGATGACAGTCTTCCCCAGGAGCACTTCTGTGCGATTGGTCTGTATGGTCAGAGCAACTTGAGTATTTCCGACGATGATTGCTCCGAGAAATCAGGTCACTGTGTCACCGCGATTATGAAGTGATACTCCCATTCGCCTTGGTTCGCGGAGATAGCCAATTTCCTATCTGCTGAAAAGGAACCTGTTGAGTTCACTGGGAATGAGAAGAGAAAATTCCTCAGGGACGTAAAACACTACTTTTGCGATGAACCATTCCTCTACCGAAACTGCAAGGATGGAATGTTTTGACGCTGTGTTCCAGAGGACGAAATACCTGGAATACTCTACCATTGCCATGATTCCTCCTACGCTGGACACTTTGCAACGTTCAAAACCGTTTTCAAGATCCTCCAAGCCGGTTTCTGGTGGCCTACCATGTTCCAAGATGCTCATGCATTCATATCTAAGTGCAATTCATGCCAATGACAAGGGAACATCAGGAAAAGGAAAAAGATGCCTCAGAATTTCATACTAGAGATTGAAGTGTTTGATTGTTGGGAAATATACATTATGGGTCCGTTCCCACCCTCGTACAAAAACGAGTACATTTTCGTAGTAGTGGATTACGTCTCCAAGTGGGTCGAAGCGATTGCCAGCCCCACTAATCATGCACGTGTTGTGACCAAGCTCTTCACATCAATTATTTTTCTACGGTTTGGAGTACCTCGAGTGGTCATAAGCGATGGAGGTACCCACTTCATCAACAAGATCTTCCAAGGCCTGTTGAAGAAGAACGATGTAAAACATAAGGTCGCCACATCATATCACCCTCAAACCAGCGGCCAAGTGGAAGTTTCCAACAGGGAGATCAAGAACATTCTGCAGAAAACTGTCGGAACAACCCACAAGGATTGGTCCCTAAAACTAGATGATGCCTTGTGGGCATACAAAACAACTTACAAGACACAATTGGGGACCACTCACTATAACCTGGTCTACGGAAAGGCGTGCCATCTCCTTGTTGAGCTTGAATACAAGGCAGCTTGGGCCGTCAAATTGCTCAATTTTGACATCAAATCTGCCAAGGAAAGGCGCACCATTCAGATCCATGAGCGAGAAGAAACCAGACACCTTGCCTATGAAAGCTCCAAAATCTATAAAGAGAAGACTAAGGCTTATCACGACAAGCGGATCATCAGCAGGGACTTCAAGCCCAATGATCAAGTCTTGCTCTTTAATTCCAAGTTGAAGTTGTTCCCTGGAAAATTGAAGTCCAGATGGTCTGGACCATTCATCATTAAGCAGGTTTGACCATATGAAGCAATTGTGTTCCTGGATACCAAAGGAGGGGAATTCATTGTCAATAGTCAGCACCTAAAACCTTACCTAGCTGACACAACCATCGTTGAAGGAGAAGAAATTCCCCTGAGCGACCCTTCTTTAGCTTGATCGGTTAACCAAAGTCAAGCTAGTGACTTTAACCAAGCGCTTGGTGGGAGACAACCCACTGGTATGTGTAAATAATTGTTTTTTCTCTTATTTTAGATTTACTAGTAGGTACTTAACAAGAAAACCCAAGATCGTTTAACCAGAGCAATCCATATGCTTACTCCCTAGCCAGAGAAATCCAGGTGCTTGCTCCCTAACCAGAGCAATCAGGGTGCTTGCTCCTTTAACCAGAACAATCACTATCACGATTGATTCCAGTTAAGTATCTCGGACAAAAAAAGATATAAAAACAAGAAAGGGGAATGGTTAGGGTTTACCTATATAAGGATAATCCAATCACCACTTCCCCACATTCTCTCCTCTCACGCCATACCTATATAAGGCATCTGCACTCTTTATTTCTTCTTATTGTCTTCTTTATGTATTTGAGCCTTCTCCTACTTGATTTCATTCCAGGGATGGTGTGAATAAGTCTGGGGGAGGCAATATGTTGTGTGCTACTATTCTTTTCTGTTTTTTGTGTTTTCTCGAGTCAGTTTTATCGAGTCCAAAACTTTTGTGGGAATTAGGACCCTGTTTTATGATGATCGTTTAATCACCTCGTGCTCTAAATTTCTTATTTAGTGACCTTAATAGAGACGAAAGACCCACACTCAGACCTGGAACACTCCTGACTTATCTCATTTGAATCTCCAGAAGCTTCGCCTGATCAGGTTACACTGGGTAGACGTTACTCCATCTGGCTTGAACTTAATATTAACTATAATTCCTCTTGTTATGGGCATTAGATCAGGAAAACGAGACTTACACTCAGAACTTCTTATCTTTTTTTTTATCCATCTTTCTGATCCTAAGTGGCTAGCTCATCTTTAGCTAGTTCCCACCTTTTACCTTAAGCCTTTGTTCCACCTTCATGTATTTGTTTTTCAGTGTCATATGTGCAGATACATGCAAAAAGTTCGGAGAGGAGAGGATCGACACGGTCCCTTACTCATTAAAAGCCATTGGATCTGAAGAGCAAGCAAGGCTTCGGAGCAACTGCTCCTTGAGAATATGGGGAATGAGTAATGAGCAGAGCAACCTGACGATTGATCCCGAGTAGAGCAATCACACAGAAGAACATTTGCACAAGGCATGATATGAACTAAGAAATGGTGTGAAGCAGAACCACCAGTGGCTCGACTACGCATGTTACCTCATCCCTCGTCACCATCTAAGTCATCATTTAATAAAATAAAATAAAAAACCCTCTCTATGTATTTTCTTCGGTTTGAGGTGATTAGGAAAGAGATGAATCCAGATAAACATGAGCCGCTGGGATGGTTGATCTAAAGTGGTACTGACTTGGGGAGTAAGAAGAATGAAGGGTACGCAGAGCAACCTAATGATTTATCCTGAGCAAGAGCAATAGCACGAAGAGGCTGAAACGAGTAGGGGCAGTGGACATCAATTGACCCATCCTCTCTTGCAGTTTTGCGTGATATCATGCATCCTTCAACAAAAATGGTAAACCTTAAACACTTTTAGCTCCACCATAGAATTAGCCTGCTGCACACTTAGCCCGTCTACCCTGAATAGTTCCCATGATGAGAAGCTCACGCCACCCTTAATGAATGTAAGGAGTTTTGTCTCGACAGTGTACATTTTCAGGTTTGAGATGTAAAGTATGGAGCTGATCTTTGAACAGTGATCAGTGAGGATTCTGGAAAGATTGTGTGGTCTAATTTGTTGTTTGTATGGTTCAGAGATTTGCGGTAGGAGTATGGTTGTTGAAAACAAGAGTGTTCTCACTCTTTCAAACTTTTCTCCCTGTTCTGGGTACTTGTCATTGTTCGAAGACAAACTTTTCTCCCTGTTCTGGATATATCCTTTATTCCAATATAAAAAGGATTTGTTATATTTTTTCACAAACTGATTGAAGACTTAACTATATTATTAATGAAACTGATAAAAGAATCAATATAAGAGCAAAAGAAAGTAATTAGAGAAACATGTTAGTAACCTTGCGGAGTTTAGCAGCCATTAACTTGTTTACAGTTTCAATGGCATTCTCAACTCTTTTAGCCTTAATATATGCATGAATCAATGATGTGTAAGTTGCATCATCTGGTTTCATAATATCTTGTTTCAACCATTCACCAAACACACTCTCAGCCTCAGAAAACCTCCTATTCTGACATGATATATGGTGTTTTTGACACTATTGTGTATATGTTTTGCAACCGGTTTTCAATGTTTTGTCGAGTCAGTCCAGTCATTTTGAGTCAATTCAGGTCATCTGGAAGGCTAAGGAGCTGAATAAAGGTGCATGAAGAAAGATGTAGGAATCAGAGTCTTTTTCTTCGGAGCAATAACACGGAGAAGTCAGTTGGTTGATCCTGCTGGAGCGATCACGCGGAGCAATCAGAGGACAGTTCGTGACATTTATGGAAACTTCGTTATGTTTTTAAGACAGACTCTAATCTCTTTTCCTTTCTGAAAGTCAACGGTGCTTCCATATAAAAGCGCCTCTTTCATATGTTTATTTTCTTACGCTAGTTTTTGCAAGAGACCTAGACATTTTTTTGGCGATTTGCTATTGTAAGGGAGACAGGCACTCTTCTCGACAAGAAGATCATCCTGAACCCTATCTATTTCTCTTTGGAATTTTATGCAGTATCATTCAGTTATTATGTCTTTGTCATATTGTTCTATGGCTGAGTAGTCGATGGCTTGTTTAGGGTTCTAGGATGTTAATCGCATGAGCCAAATTTAGATAAGCAATCTTATTGTATCGTCATTCATTCAGTTCTTAATTATTGATTTAACTTGATCACTTATCAGTAGATCTAGGGTTGTTTCTACTCATTAACCGTGATAACTTGATTTTTGGGTGAATGAGTCTAGCATCCCCAGTCAGCGAGAGCATATACTAGGGTACTAGCTGAACCTATCGAACATGACCTTTATTGCTTGTGATCGGATCTGAACTCAATCGAGAGTTTAGGTGTTCAGACCAATCAGCAAAGGGAGCAGTACCACGACAGTGGACTGTTCTACATGAGTGATCCGAGTTCTAGATTGTGTTATTTTGTACTTGAATAACTGTTTGGCTCAACTTTGACATCCGGTGAGAAACCCTAGAACAACTTTTTAATCTTAAATTCATATTTTCGTAATTTTTATTTTATTTGCTTGCTACAAACTAATCAATAATCACCTTGAGTTTTAGCTTGGTAGAAAACTAATAGAATTAAAGCGTGAACTGGTCCTCTGGATTGAATCATAAATACTACAATTATCACTGTTAACTTGACAGTAGGAAATGTTCAGTTTTAGTGTATCATGACACGACTTTCAAATAAGGTTCATGTAAGCTCTCACAGGAAAGTATTTTAACTGTGTCTTGTACTTGGCCAAGATGTTGACTGCATCGCTAAACTGCCCCTCCTTGATACACCCGTTCAGAATCATATTAATAGTGTTGTTGCCTAACCTAATGCATTCGTCGTAATTGTCAAGCATATATTCGAAAAATGCCCGGGCTTGGGTTTTCTTGCTGTACTTGAGCAGAACTTTCAAATAAGGATGGCCCACATGTCCGTTTGCTATGAAGCCGTCATTGTTTAAAGAGGTCTTGTACAGCTCCATAGCCTTGTCATCATTGCCTTGCTTGAACAAATACTCTACGAATACTGAGTTCAATATTGTGATTATGTTCCATATGGAACATATGTTGAAGTTGTCTCGAAGCTGATACGCCATGTCAAGATTCCCTTGTTCCAAGAAGCCACGAATGAGATTCATGTACATGTCTGGCTGTTGGAAGTTGAATAACACATCCCTTCCTCTCAAGAAAAGTTCCAGAGTCTGTCCATCATTCATGCATTGACCAGAGCTTTGGTCAAGAGGTCGTATATCTTGTGGTCCAGGGAAGGAGTGTGGTCCAAGAGGTAGTTGTAGAGTTGAAGAGCGTCGTCAATCCGGCCTTCCAGGCAGTGGGATCTGTTGATGAGATTGCATGTAAAGATGCCAAGATTCATCTTGGAAGAGTTGAAAGAATTGGAGGTAAAGATTTCCTTTCCGGGGTTCATATTCTTCCTCACAGCTAAACAAGCATGGTTGGCTGCATTATCGAGGTCAGAAAATTTGTTGATCAGGAAGTGGACACGATGATCAAGCATCGATAATGGACAACGAATTTTGGTGCAGTCCGGCAGTTGCTTCCGCGGATGTTCCCTCCCAATCGGATATGGTTTTGTTTTTGGTGAATACATCATCCTCTTGAAGAATCTGCGGCCGTCAAAGACATTATTAACCTAAGAGCAATTGTTTTTGGTCAAAACCGAGGCAATTGCTCTAGTACCCCTATATCTTATGAATCAATTTCTCAAGAACAGTCTATTTTTATTTTAGGTTTTAATTATTTTTAATACAAAAATTAAGTGAATTACATATGTACCCTTCCACTCTCTAACCTAATCTAATAATATAGAGCCGTCCACGGTTTTTTCTTTTATTTTCTTATTTTCCTCTTTTTTTTCGAGGCAATTGCTCTCATACCCCCAATTGTGATATAGCCATTCTCCTATGGGCTTCTCAAATCTTAATACCCTCATATTTTTAATGAAATATGAAAATCTGATTCTACCTTTTTCTATTTTCGAAATTATTATATTTTAAATAAATAAAAATTCAAATTTCAAATTTTCAAATTTCAGATATTATATTATATTATATTATACCGTATAGTTTTACTTAATTGTACTGAGTTATACTTCATTCAACTGGATAATACTGATGTTGAGTTATACTAACTTATATTGGGCTATACTGAGATATACCAGTTATATCGAGTTATACTTATACCAAGTTATACTAGTTATATTGTATTCTACTGGTTATATTGTGGAATACTAAATACTACTAAGTTATACCAGCTATACCAAGCTCTACTGTGTTCTACTGGTTATACTGCGTAATACGCTTCCTTTTACCATCATTCTTCTGTCATCTCTAAGTTTTATTTATTGATGAAATTTGTTATCAAAGTCAGTGAACCACTCCATGACTCCACACATATGATTACTACAACCCGAATAAAGGTACCATACATGATCAAGACCGACTCATGTTTGTGCCATAAGTAACACATCTTCCTCCAATTCAGCATAGTTGGCCCCTCTCTCCCATTCAAGACATTCAGTTTTGAAGTCTCCCATCTTATGACATTTGTAGCATTCGATCTTACTCTTATCAAAGGTCGACCTTTCTCTTCTATAGACTCCTCTTCCACCACGATGTCCACCTCTCTGAGTGTAGCCTCCTCTTCCCCCTTCCATTCTCAAAGCAAGCTCATCTCTCGTGTGCTTACTGAGACTATGTTTGTGTACAAGCAAAGAGCTCTGCAATTCATCAACACTCAGCTCTTTGATATCCTTCGACTCTTCAATGGCACACACGATGTAGGTGAACCTCTCCACCAACGTACGAAGAATCTTCTCAACTATCTTGTCATTTGGCATCTCCTCTCCAAGGTTTCTCATATCTTTTGCAACAACCATAACTCTCAAGAAGTATTCAGTGATTGAATCTCCCTCCTTCATCTCTATTACTTCAAAGTTTCTTCTGAGCCTCTGCAACTGCGCACTTCTCACCAGGGGCGGAGCTATGTGTATCACTATGGGTGCAAGTGCACCCAGGATTTTTTTTAAATTTTTTGTTTTATATAGAATTTTTTTAAAATTGTGTCCAAATTTAATCTAAAACCTATTTCTGCACCCACTGTTTTTTGTAAGATGCCCCCTTAATTTCATAAATTATAGAAAATATCTTTAGTAATGTGATATTTACGGAATTGTGCACCCACTAGTATTAGGTTCTGCCTTCGCCCCTGCTTCTCACTCTCTTGTTGCCTTGATACTTTACCTTCATAAACTACCCCATCTCGGGACAGCAGTGGTAGTTGTCAAGCATATATAGTTTTCTTGCCGTACACTTTCAAATTTGGGTATCAATTAATTAGCACAATATTTTGCACTAGGATTATGAAAACCCTTTAAAACTCTAAACGCGTTTGATTGGAAGGTTTCCAAAACCGGTTCTAAACCACAGCGACGTCGATGTGTAACTTTGACTGTAAAAGTCCCTTTTTTTTACGTAACGGAAGACATGAATGCGTGTTAGCGTGTGTGTCACTGTTTTTTCAACATTGTTGGCTGTATCACTATTGTTGATACACAATACACCGAAAGAACCGAACAAATCTACATTCCAAACACGTAATAGCAAGCCTCTATTTGATCCAGTCAATAATAATGTAAAAAACCTATGAAAATGAGACTATATATTAATCTGGTAGCTTATAGACTTGCTTAAGGTTTTAAGATTTAAAAAAATGTCGTAATTAGAGAAGACACGGCGTTTAATCAATCCTCACAAGATTTGTGTCTTATGAGACACTTGTTGGACGTACAGCCTCGAGTAATTACTAAGGTTTCTTAGATCATCTATATGACGTCAATTAAAGGCAGAGCATGATTACGTGTAACTTGGTTTAACGTTACTTTCTTGGTGTCCACTTTGAAAGACAAGTATTTGATGTTATAAGTCAAGTTGAAAAGACAGCACATTTTAAGACTTTGAACACCTCCAACGGGGGTCCTTAGGGAGAATCTTTAGGGAAAAAATAATTAAATAATTAATAGATTCCATAAAAAGTTAAAGATTCGATCCTTAAAATCCCCAAATAAGGATTGTTTCTTAGCGAATCATTACACTATTTGCGGGTCCCCAGGACACGTGACAGCCCGTGAATGGTCTTTTTTTTTCTTTTTCTAAAAAAAAACCGAAATATCCTTACCAAATTCGAAATACCCTTTTTCTTAAGAACTCCTATGAATCTCACGGTTGCGGATGCTCTAAGAACACACTTTATAGCAGGGAATTATTGGCTGCTTAGTTCTTAGGGGTCCATCAAAACACAACGACGCTTCTCACTGCAAAATAAGCACTCCATTTTTGTTGTTGCTTCAACTGTTCGCGGATCCTACTGACACATGACGATCCACGATTTCTGTTGTTGCTTCAACTGTTCGCGGATCCTACTGACACATGACGATCCACGATTGATTAATTTTTAATTTCTTAGTCAGAAAATACAAAGAAAAAAATTTAAACATCCCCATTTTGAGTTTCAGGATAGTGGTGCTCTAAATTAAAGACCAAATATCATTATATTTTTAATATTTATTTAGTTATCTGGTGTGTTACTTATTATTCAATATTCCTTATTTGTTCTAATATACTTGTTACTCGTTAAAATTCTTGTTAGCCTCAAAAATACATGAACTAGTTTAAAAACTATTTGTTACATATATTTTGATTTCAAATAGTATTCGAGTATTTTGTTTTAAGAAAAATATAGTAAAGTATTTTATATAAAAACTTGATTTTAGCAAATATCAAGTCAAATCAAATAATTTACAAATATACTTTTTCTTCCGATTTTATTGTAACGTTGTTTTTTTATTTAGATTTTGATATATAAAGTACCTGATTCAAATAAGCCAAATGCAAATAATAAATCAAAATATATGAACAAGACAAATTGAATAATAAATACATGAAAGTTAGCGAAACAGACATTTATAAATTAATAGTGTTAGGAAATTTTAAATTTTTTTAATTTATGGAAATATTAATTACGAAATTTCTTTATTTAAGTTTTCTTTTTTTTTAGATATATTTATTTTAAGATCAGAAAATATTTAATTTTACTGTATATATATTAGTTATTATTATTTATAAATTTGACATTTATATTAATTATATTTTTTATTTGGTGTATATAATATATATTGCATAGAACTTAGAGGTGGTTTATAGATATATCATTACTAAATTTCATCAAACATATATTACGTATTAAAAAAAATATAAAGATAATTCTATTATTAATAAAAAAATATAATAATAAGTTCTTACTTATAAAAAATATGTATACATATAAATTATTAATTTATAATTTTAATGAGAGCATATATTTATATAGAATTTTTTTAAAAAATATTATCTTATTATTTTATCGATGTTTGTCATATTCTATAACGACGTAAATTAAAAACAATAAAATTTATTAATTTTTATAAATTATTAATTTATCAAATATTAATATATAGAGGTTTTACAGTATATGTCCCCTGTCCTCTTTGGAAATTCAATTAAGGCAATAAACCTATCAAGAGAGCTAGAGAAGTATCTAGAACCACAAAATCAATTGTTATGCTGTTTGGAAAGATATAACTTATATCATATACGCATTTGGACTTCATCATAATCTTCTCTTTTCAATCTGGCTTAAACCTATTTACATCCACGAGTACATTTTGAAGATATTCATCACTGATCAATGCCGTCAGAAGTTCACAAATGTTTATTTTTATTTACTTCCTAATTTTATTTTTTTTAATTAATTAATTAATTAAAATAGTCTTTTTAACACATATAAAATAGTCTTATAAAAAAAAATTGATAAATCAGATATTTTTAACTAATGTAGAATTAAATCAAGTTGAATTGTTTTTTTTTTTTTTTGTGATACATGTCAACTTAATAATTTAGTATAATAATTAAATAACTTCAAATATAAAAGTCTAAATGCTATTTTTGGAAGTTTCTATGTAATTTTCTTCTGTTTAAATAAATATCTCAAATTTTATTAAGGAATTCTTTCTTATAAACGGCTTCGCTCGTGCTTCTTCCTTTTATAATTTTTCACTTTTAGTAGTAAGAGATTCTCTAAGCGATTCTTGATCGATAGTTTTAATCCCCTATATATTAAAGGAGAAACATTACAACATTTTTGGTAGCCATGTGTCATCACCTAATGAGTCTTAAAAATCCTTAGAAAAAGTTGGTCTATCTATGTTTATAATAAGTTTTTTATTAAACTAGCCATAAATTTATCATTAATGTTCCTTTTTATTTCCATAAATAAAATACGGAATTTCCTAATGTGACTAAAATATATATGATAATTAATGGTTTTGAATAATAAAAATTAGTGTATCATCTACCATATTTTTTTAATTTTAAATTAGCCAAATAAATTAAACAATAACATTAACTATATAACAAAAAATGATTTTTTGATATATGTTATACTTTGTATTTTTTTTTTAAACGATTATAAAATAATAAAAAATTTATAAATTTCACATATAATAATTTTGATTAGTATTTTAATTTCCCTATATATTAATCATGTATCATAACAACATTTTTGGTAGCCATGAGAATGATTTTTATAACTCTTTGAGAAATATGTTGGTCCAACTAAACATATGTTATATTTTATTATATTAACTATCATATCTAATTAGTAGTGTACAAACGAATATTTCATATTTTTTCTTATATAAAAAATATGGAATTACCTAATATGATTAACATATATATCACAATTAATGTTTATGAACAATAAAGATATGATGACAATTTCTTATCCTCTTTTTTTTTTATTTAATTTTATATTATTAAAAGAAATTAAAAAAATCACATTAATCATATAATAATAAAATTAGATTTGTTATATTTTAAATTTTATAAACCGATAATAAATTACTAAAAATGTTAAAAATCTCACACTGAAAATTTTGTGATCAGTGATAACGTTTTTTAATTCAGCCAATCGTTTTTCTAATGAGTCGTAAACCATTTATAATGATTAACTAAATGGATCGCGCATAATAAAGTGTGTTTTGTTTAAAAATTATTGCAAATCCAAAATCAATATGAACCATCATCTCTTTCGTTTAAATTTTTGTTACAATAAAAAATATAAGTTGGGCAAAAAAACTGAATCCAGATAACCGAATTAAATTTAATCCAAAAAGTAGTACAAATTTTTAACTAAAATTGGTTAGATATCCAAACGGATTCAAAATTTTGGTATCTAGAGAACCAAAACTGAATCGAAATATCTAGGATATTCGAGTTTACTCGAACCAGATTTATATACTTAAATATATTAATTATTTTTAAATTTAACATCTACGAATATACAAAATACATGAGAGTTTTTAAAGTTTTCCAAAATACTTAGAAAATATAAAATAGTTAAATATACATTTTTAAAATAGCTAAACGATACTCCAAATACGGAAAATATTTATTGATTTTTTGTCCAAATATTTAAGAGATATATAAAATATATATCTTAAATACTTAGAAATATATAAAATAGTTATATGTACATTTTTAAAATAGCTAAACGATACTCCAAATACGAAAAAATATTTGTTGATTTTTTTGTCCAAATACTTAGAAATATATAAAAGATTTAAATGTACATTTTTAAAATAGATAAACGATACTCCAAATACTCCAATTTTATGTTAAGTTTAAGTATTTTGGCATTAATTTTTCAAATTTATATTTTATATATTATTTTTACTTTTAGATTTTGAAAAATTTAATGTATATATAACTTTTAATCTTTAAAAAAAAAAATGGATTATCCGAACCTGCAAAGATTCGAACCAAATCGCAAAGATCTAAACTAAACAGAATCTAACCGAACCAAATTGTATCCAAATGGTCTTTCCTAATCAAATGTAAAAAAAAAAATTATTGATAGCAAAATATGTATTTAAATATAATATATTTTTAAAAAGCTCACACTGCGCATGGCGCGGGTTATCATCTAGTTACTATTATAATGGAACATAAGTTAATATAATTTTAAATCCTTTATGTATTACAAGATAAGTATTACAACATTTTAGTTATTACACATAAAATCACTAGAATGATTTCAAATTTTACTAGAAAAATATATTGGTCCATTAGATATATATTATAGTTTTCATTCAACTAATCATAAAATTAATTAAGAATGTACAATTAAAAAATTTCATTCTTTCCTTATAAAAGCTACATGATTACCTAATATAGATAAAGTAATTATATATGATAATTAATGATTTTAATCATAAAAATTATAAAAGTTTGTGTATCCTCCATCATATATGTTTAATTTTATATTATTAACATAAAATAAACAATACTACTAACCATATAATTCGTATATGTAATAATTTGAATTGTTAAAAATAACTATAAATTACTAAAAACAATTAAAAATCTCACATTAAAATTTGTATGAAAGGTTTACAATTTTTATTATAAAAATATGTATGGTCAGAAAACCATATGAGTGAAAAATCTCATTTAAAGATATTCAAAATTCAAAAATAATATATATATATATATATTAAACTATATACCATATAAAATACAAAAATACTTGAATTTCAAAATTTACATTGAACAAGAATTGAAAAAATTAATCTCAAAATTTGCAGTAAAATCTGAAGAACAATTATAAATGATCAACTTAAAAGTCCTACATTAAGAATTTTGTTATCACGTGTTTACCATTTTTGTTAAAAGAAAACACAGATACTGAAAACCATATGATTAAGAAATTTCTTTTAATAGATATACATATCAAATATGTCCATGTTAATATCATTTAAATTTAATTATATTCGTACAAAATATATAAAAATATTATTTAGGTTTATTTATAGTAAAATAATTGTAAATAAACAAAAGTGATTGCTTTGATGTGTTTGCGCCAATTTAATTATATATTTAATAATTCATATTTTTCAATTATTTAATATATATTTATTATTTTGTTAGTTTGATAATATATAAAACATAAAATAAATAATAATATGTAAAATATTCATCCCAGACAATACACAGATTTTAAACTAGTTATGCTAATATGTGAGCGCTCTTATTCGAAGTTCCCTATATATCCAGAAAGAGATGCGACTCATGCGAGCGCTCTTATTACGTAGATATCATTTGGGAAACGAGTGGCCTGGAAAATTAGGAAAATTTAAGGTCCTTATAACACGCAGTAGACTTATTGGACACTTTGTGGTTTGTACTTAAGCCTTTGTTGTAGGAGCCAAAGAAAAAACTCCAGAGGCAGAAAGGAGTTTGAACAGAGTAACTTATATGGCGTCTCGAAGTGTTGACATCTATGAGAGACTCAATATGGTGGCTCAAGATGGGGATATTGAGAGACTCTACGAGTTGATAGCAGAATATCCAAATATTTTGGAACACTTTGATAATGTGTCTTTTTGTAAAACGCCGTTACACATTTCAGCTGAAAAAGGGCAAACTCATTTCACCATGGAGTTAATGACCCTTAAGCCGTCACTTGCTTTGAAGCTAAACGTCTCAGGTTTCAGCCCGATGCACTTAGCCCTGCAAAAAAACCACATCCGAATAGTGAGAGGATTTTTGGCAATTGACAGCAGCTTAGTCAGCATCAAGGGAAGAGGAAGGATTACTCCTTTGCATTATGTGGCTCAGTTAGGTAATGAAGAGTTGTTGAGTGAATTCTTGTTTGCTTGCCCATCTTCTATAGAAGATCTGACCATTAAGTGCGAGACAGCTGTGCACATTGCTGTGAAAAGCAACCAGTTTATGGCATTTAAGGTTCTTTTAGGATGGGTTCGGAGAGTGAACCGGGAGGAAATCTTGGATTCGAAAGATGAAGATGGTAACACAGTTTTTCATATTGCTGCATCGATAAATCAAACTGAGGTAGATGTCTCTCTCTGATCATTTAGTGTCTCCTTTTTGGTACAAACATGCAATTGTTGGTCATTAGACATGTTCTGCTGCTGTATGAAAATGGCTATGATCTTGCTCTGATACGCGATATGACTTAGATCAATATTTAACATTAGGAGTTTTGGTAGGCTTTGAAGTTGTTGACAAGTTGGTTTTGAAGTTTTCTTTTTCTTTTTAAAAATATTTTGTGTAATTGTTTACTTTTTCTATTAAGTTGTATCTATATTAATTTTTATTATGATTAATAAATTAATTTTCTTACGATTAATAAGAAACCAACTTTCAGGAATTTCTCTAAGAAGTTATGTTAAAAGTAAGTAAGCTTTTGACCAAAGAAAACATTTAAGTATAAGCTTTTTGGTTCCTATGCAAACTTGTATTTTTCTAGGCTAGAACTGGTGGCTTTCTTCTTGTCCAAGTCTCTTTGGAAATGTTGTGTCACCTACGAGCTAACAATATTTGATAAAGACTCATATTGTAATTCAATGTGAGGTTCTAATAAGGTACGCACTCAACTTTCAGATACTGACGTTGCTACGTAATACTGTTAACGTAAAAGCCAAGAACTTGGATGGTAAGACAGCAATGGACATACTCGAAACTTACAAGTCTCCTATTTTCCCCAAAGCAACTAGGCTTGTCTGCAATGCTAAAGAAATACTACTTTTTGGTCCCTCGATGACACTTGCGGGATATTTAAGTAGAAAACCATCGACCATTGAGGGGAAAAATAAGCTCTTAGGGCTGAACAATTTGAGCAAGACCAGACACGGGTCTCGAGAATCAACTGATTTCCGTAATGCGATACTAGTAGTGGCTGTACTGATAGTAACAGCCACATACCAGGCCGGTCTTAGTCCTCCTGGCGGTTATTGGGAAGAAAACTCCCCTAATGATGATCACACAGCTGGGCAGATGACAATGTCTTTCAACCTTGCCTTGTTTTTTACATCTTAAACGGAACTGCCTTCTTCTCATCTCTATATGTGATTATGGTCCTCATAATTGGCCTTCCCATGTGGATGGTCCTATACGGTTCAACAGCGGCTCTGGGGATGGCGAATTATGCATCGTACAGATATACATTCCCGCATTTAGATGGATCATTCGGGAATATCGCATTAGCCCTCGTGTGGTTCGCATACCCAGTGATTACAGGAATTTTATTGTTACGTTATTTCATGGCATTCATTTCCAACAAACGTCGCCGGCAGGGAGTAGACTTTCCGGCAAGGTACTTCAGCTCAGTTCAGGAGCTATAGCGCTAAAGCCTTGAAGCTCACAAATTTTATGTGAACTGTTATTATTCTGAATCAGATTTCAAATGTGTGTCTGTGGTTTGTTTTCCAAGTATTTGAACTCTTTGTTGGGTTGTACTCTGAATTACGTGTTCCATGTTCAATCATTTGCTTTCTGTTATACTAATTTTATATGCAACAAAACATGTGAACTCTGTTAAGAGAACTTGCGTGGTCGGTTAAGAGACCGGTGTTTCTCGCCGCAATAATGTTTCCAAAGCTTACTTTGATGTTTACCTCAGTGGAGTTTGAAGATTATGCATTTCCATCCAGTTGTGGCTGCCCTTCAGTTGCGTAGCTTCTATAAAAAATCTTGTTTGAATAACCCCTAAGTACAACAAAGTTGAAGTGGCCTAGTGGTATTTCCCATATTACTTCATACATCCAACCTGGGTTTGACCCTTGTAAAAACCAAAACCAATATCCATGGATAATTAACATTAACATCCATCAGATAAATAGTAACCTAAACCGAACTAGTCCATTTCGGATTGTGACTGGTTTGAGTACTTGGTTCCGGTTAAATGTGGCAGTCCTTACAGTTGTCAATCATTTTATCAGACCTAAGCACCTTTTTTTCAACTAAACTTTTGATATCTGTACTAAAAAGAAAATTCCCACGCGCGTTGGAGTTAGTATATATAAATAATCCTCTACTTATTATTTGAGAAGTGATTTTGCCACATATCATTTATACAATCAGTTTCACAAAAAAATGTAACATTGCTATTAAAACAGAAGACATGGCTTATGACAAAATATAATATAAATAAATATATTTAATGTTGATTTATATTTTTGCTTCTTCCTTATATTTTTTTAAAAAGATATTTTAGTATTAAGACATTCTCTTGGCGGCATTCTTGATCAACTTTCAAAGACTGTAATGGAAACAAAATTAATATACGTTTTACAATATGCTAAAATGCGAGGGCTCTAATTGAAAGTTCCATTTTTCTTTGTCAGCTATTGAAAGTATCCATCTATCCAAAAAATAAGATATGCCAGCGCTATAATTAGATAGTAGATATAATATGGAAATTGAGTGGCCTGGAATTTTAGGAAAATTAAAGGTCCTTATACAAGGCAGTTGACTTACCGGAGACATTCTTTTTTTGTACTAAAGTCTTTGTTGCAGGAGCCAAAGAAAAAACTTAAGAGGGACAAAGGAGAGTGAACAAAGTAACTGATATGGCGGCTCAAAGTATTGACATCTATAAGAGATTCAATATGGTGGCTCAAGATGGGCATATTGAGAGACTCTACGAGTTGATAACAGAATGTCCAAATATTTTGGAAGACTTTGATAATGTGTCATTTTGTGAGACGCCATTACACATTTCCATGGATTTAATAACCCTTAATGATGTAGATAAATATTCCTATCCCTAAAAACTTCCGCTACATCACTTAAGCCTTTACTTGCTTTGAAACTAAACGTCTCAGATTTCAGCCCAATGCACTTAGCCCTTCAAAACAACCATATACGAATAGTGAGAGGGTTTTTTCGCAATTGCTAGAAGCTTAGTCAGCATCAAGGGAAGAGGAAGGGTTACTCCTTTGCATTATGTGGCTCAGTTAGGTAATGAAGAGTTGTTGAGTGAGTTCGTGTTTGCTTGCCCATCTTCAGTAGAAGATCTGACCATTAAGTGCGAGACAGCTGTGCACCATTGTCGTGAGGAGCCACCATTTTATGGCACTTAAGGTTCTTTTAGAATTGGTTTGGAGAGTGAAAAGAGAGGAAATCTTGGACTGGAAAGATGAAGATGGCAACACAGTCTTTCATATTGCTGCTTCCATGAATCAAACTGAGGTAGGTTCCTCTCTAATCATTTAGTGTCTCCTTTTTTATACAAATATGATAGAACCTGCTTAAAAAAGTGCACTTGTTGGTTGTTAGATATATGCTGATATTGCTCTCATTTCAAGCAAACTGTATTTGGCTCGGCTGGAACTAGCAGTTATCTTCTTCCTAGTCTCTTTGGAACTGTGGTGTCATTTGCGAGCTTTTAATATATGATTGTCTAATTTTTTAATTAATGTTAGGTTCTGATAGGCTATGTGCTCGATTTTCAGGTGTTGAAGTTGCTACATAGCACCGTTAACATAGATGCCAAGAACTTGGATAGTAAGACCGCAATGGACCTACTCCAAATCACATGTCTCCTATTTTCACCAGAGCAACTAGGCTTCTCCACAGTGCTCTAAAAAGAAAACGTGTTGGTCCCACGATGACTCTTGTTGGATATTTAAGCTAAAAACGAGCAGATACTGAAGAGCTAAATAGTTTGAGAAAGACTAGACACGGGTATCAAGAATCAAGAGATAATGCAATTCTAGTGGTGGTTGTATTGATAGTGACAGCCGCATAGCAGACCGGTCTTAGTCCATCTAGTAGTTATTGTGAGCTCAGGAGATCTAAGCGTTCAAACCGTGAGTGACAGAAACAGGAGTTTGTGTTACACAGGAAGAGCTCAAGATGTAAGCATGTGATGTGTGTGTTACACGAGGCAGAGGGTGTGTAACACATGGTGCTAAATACAAGAAAGCCGATAATTGAAGATATCTTTCCAAGATTATAGGAGGTTTGCCTGTTAGGAATCCATGAGATATTGGGAAGATTTGTACTTATCACAAGAGATACAAGGTTAGATTTATATTTTGGATAAGTCACTTCTATTAGGTTACGGTTTTGGGGATTAATTGTTATCGAGTTCTAGAGTGTGTTATGAACTGCGATTGTGTTCTAGCAACTGGTGAGATTGTCTTAACCAGTGTGCTTCTGGGTAGATTAAGAATTGGTCTGTCTCAAGTCAAGTATGACGTTGAGTAAATTGGATTAAACAGATCTAGGAAGATTGTTTAAGAGATTCTTAATAAACAAGTTGTTTTTCTTGGTATTGCTTGTAAGTGTTCTATTAGTGGTATCCATACGAAGAAATAGTTATTGGGATGAAAATTTCACAGATTCCAATGATGATGGTCACATAGCTGGCAGATGAAAATGTCTTTCAGCCATGTCTTACTTTTTATATCTTCAACAAAATTGCCTTCTTCTCAGCTCTAGATGTGATTGAGCTTCAAAATTGGACTTCCCAAGTGGATGGTCCTATTTGGTTCAACATTGGCTCTCGTAATAGCTAATTTGCATCTTTCAGATATACATTCCCGAGTTCAGATGAATCATGGGTTTTTATGGCTCTCTTGCCCATCCCATACTCAGTGATTACATGATTTTTAATACTTTATCCTTTACTGGTATTCTTTATCAACAGAGCTCGCCGACACCAAGTGAGCTTTCCGGCAAGGCATCTCAGCTAAGTTCAGGGGCTATCATGTTAATGCATGAAGCGCTCACCGTCTTCTGTTTAGGCTTAAGGTTGTATTCAGTTTATGAGTTGATTAATAAAATTGATAGTTCTCTATTTTTTCTTTGTTTTTGGTAGATCATTGGTGATCTGAACGAATTTAAAAAGATATTGATTTTAGGTGTTCTTAGACAATATAAGCTCTTTGTGATTATCATAGTTTTTCAGTTATTCTTACAATCGACGATGGATCACTAATTATATTCTATAAAGCTTCCGCTACATCAGATTGGTATTAGAAATGGTGTTTTAGTTTCTTAATCAAAATTCAATTCTAAAAATCATGGAAAATTTGTTCGTGCAGAGTCACGAAATCGTTTATATAGAGATTACTGGAGATCCATTTTACGAAACTTATGATGATGATTACGAACACTTCATCATATATAAAGTATCGTAAGACATCACCGTGCATCATGACGTCCAGCAATCCAACTCAACCAATCCCATAAAAGATAGTGTGCTTGTGATACGTATGGCATATTGTGCTCTAATACAATCACATCACGTGATGGTGGATGGCAGCAAAGCAAAGATTCAAGAGGTTACGTGTCTTGTTGGTGACTTGTTTGTGAAGACATAAGGTTCAATAACAATGATTAAAGGGGAATACATGGACAAATATAATTTGTTCTGTATTTTCTTTTTGTTTACTTGGAGATCAAGGATGCCAAGTTTCATCAATGAAAAAGAAGAAAAAAAGTTAATCAAAGACTCTGGTTAAGATTCAGTGACGAATCTTTTTCAATCCAGAGAGAATAATGCAAAGAGAATATTTGGAAAATATTCTCACTATTATTATCTAGTTTATTATTTAATGGTGTCTCACAAAACGACACAATATTATTATCTAGTTTAATATTCTTATCTATTTTTAATGTTTTAGGACTTTTATAGTTTTTTTATATATAGTCGTTTAGACTTAACATTGTATTCAGTTTATAATTTGATTAATAAAATTGAGATTTCAACAAATTTAAGAAGATATTGATCTTAGTATTCTTAGAATCTTTGTGATTATCATAGTTTTCCGCGTATTCTCAGAATCAACAAATCAATAGCATCTTCACTATCCACACTTGAATCGTAACATTCGTTGGCTGCTGTGGTCTCCGGCGCAAGCCCCATAGCATCCAAAGGGAAGCGAACTTTCCTGGTCGGAGACTGTTGTCCCTCGCCGTGGATTCGTGAGCATGTTTCTCTCGTACTGGAGTATGGTGGACCATGGGAGCCTGCAGGAACATGGAGAATGGATGAGACTTTTGACAACAAGCAATACGTGACACACAAGAAACTCATTTTCGGCTTTGATATAGAAGATACACATTCTCTAATAAGAAAGGTGTGCAATCAGGTAAATCGAAAAGCTAAAGAACTATCAAACTGACATAAATTCATTGGCCTAACACATGGTTCCCAATTTCTACTGTGCGATAAGACCAGTCACGGTTTATAGGTAAGATGCAATCTGGTGTGTCTTCACTATTATACTAGGGTTGGGCATAATTACTTGCTACTCGGCTTGTACACGCTACTTGATTCGTACTTGGCTCTTAAAGTCGAGTACTCGTTTTGTTCAAGTCGAGTATCAAATCGTTAATTTCAATTACTTGCAAGTACAAGACAAGTACCAAGTACTTTTTTTTATAACACTTGTAAAAGATAAAAGTTCAAAGAAATACATAACAAAAGAGAAAAACAACAGGAATACAAGGGATGTCATTAGACACCAAAAAGAAATGGAAAGAATCTCACCAAAACCCCTTACTGCTGAACCTCCAGAGCGAGCGGATGGTGAAGCCACACCGGAGCATGTCGGGCGATATATGATTGATGACGAAGATCACAAGTGACACTTAAGGCAATAGCCGCGGCAACTTCATTGCGTTCAGGAAGAGCGTGCTCCAGACTCCATGAATTTATCCTTGCCAGAAGAAAAGAGATATTGTGGCGGAGAATGCTGAAGTTAGAGTGATCGTCAGGCTGTATGAGAACGGTACGAAGACTCTCCGAGGAAGTTTCAAAAATAATATTGGAGAAGTGTAAATTTTGCAAGCATTTAACCGCCCAAAAGAGAGCCCACAAGTCAGCCTCTGTTTTCGAGCGCATATAGGAATATGCTCGGCGACTATGCATAATTGTACAACCATTTTCATCACGTAAAATCCATGAAGCACCACTAGGATGACTTGAGTTTACCCATGAGGATCCAACATTACATTTGAGGAAGCCAGCAATCGGTTTTTTCCATGTATTCATACACGTGTTCACTGTATCCAAACCATCTCTCGATCCTGTGAAGGTATCGAACCATGTTGATTCTTCTTCATAGGCCTTCTTAGCAATAAACGAAGACTCGAGAACCTTGGTTTCAAATACAAAAGCATTCCTAGATTTCCAAATCTCCCATAACAACCATGGGAAAACTTTACTAGTGTGTATATCCGTACCTGAGCTCCTCGACATCCTGATCAGGTGCACAAAATTGAAAAAAATTGAAGTCCGAGAGAAACCTCCTAAGGGTAGTGGAAAATTAGACTGTGCCCAAGTGGCACGTGCTTTATCACAAGTGAAAAGAACATGGCAGATAGTTTCATCACCAAGACCACAAACTGGACATGTTGGATCAATTGGGATACCCCGTGTAATCAAACGTTGCTTGACAGCTAACGCACCAGATAAAGCCCGCCACATAAAGTGTTTAATCTTTGGTGGAGCTTTGATCTTCCACAGGTCACGCCACAATTGTTTTTCATTAGGAGTGATAGAGTTTCCATTAGGGTGCTCAAAACCCACCAATGCCTCCAACAACTTATACCCACTACGAGTGGAATATACCCCATTTGGTGTAAATCCCCATTTGATCGAATCCTCAATTACCAATGATGGTTTTAGAAGTAAAATCCTTTGAACATCTGGTGGTGTAAAGGTCTGATGCAGTAGATTAATATCCCATTGGTTTGACCCCTGCATGAATAAGTCTGAAACCTTTAGCGCTAGATTTATTGGGCTACCCTCCCGATACATTGGAGGACGGGGAATAGTATCAATAATCCAGTTTTCAGCCCATACATTAGAATTAGCCCCATTGCCAATAAGGCGATATAATCCCTTTTTGAGCAATTCCCTACCGTGCATGATACTCCTCCATGCATATGATGGGCGTGTCCCCATTCCACACTCAAGAAAATTACCATTTTTGAAATATTTACCTTTTTAAATTCTAGAAACTAAAGATTCAGGATTATGCAAAATTCGCCAAGCTTGTTTCCCGAGCAAAGCTTAATTGAAACGACCAAAGTCATGAAACCCAAGACCCCCCTGTTCCTTGGGTTTACATAATTTTTCCCACGAAACCCATGAGATCTTTCTTTTTCTGTCCCCACTACTCCACCAAAACTCAATAACCGCACTCGTAATTCTTTCGCAAAGACCTTTTGGTAACCGAAAAACTTACATTGCATATATTGGAAGAGCTAAAGCAACCGATTTTATTAACACTTCCTTGGCACCCATCGGAAGAGTCTTAGAATACCACCCTTGTAACCGTCCTTCGAGTTTTTCTTTAATAAAATTTAAGAGATCTTTTTTCGAACCTTGAAAACACTCAGGGAGGCCAAGATATGAACCCTCTCCACCTTCCTTTTCTATACCCAAAACCTCTTTTATAGCATTTTTGGTCCTGTCAGCAATGTTTTTCCCAAAAATGATGGAAGACTTTAAAGGGTTTATCATTTGGCCAGACGCATCTCCATAAAGTCTTAACCCTTTCATAATTTCTTAACTATCCCTGAGGGAGGCTTCACACAACAACAAGCTAACATCAGCAAACAACAAATG